ATCGATGTCCTCTTCAACTTGTGGCCATTCAAGTTACTACCCAACCTCTCTTACCTCTTCCAAAACCTCTTGCTCGAAGATTGGAGTATAAGACTCTGTGCAAGTGTAATGGAAAGACATTCTTATATTATGTAATCAAGATCATTATAGATAGGGCGGTGCCTTAAAAGACACGGATACAAATATAATTTAGGCTGTGTGAGGATACTTAGGTACCTTATACGAAGAAAAGGAGATATCTGCAGTGTATGGACGTCTTTCCTGGTGAGAGAGAGAGATAATTGATAGGACTCAACTTAGGTATCATACTTTGGATGCACGATATTGACGCTGCACCTAAAAGTCATACTATAAAGTCTTGGCTGTTAGCTACCTACATAAGTAATATCTCAATCACTACTTTTATGTCGTGTACATTGTACCATAGTAGTAGTTAGCACCTCTAGAGCACGATACCATTATACCGTGTATCCCTCCGAGGTTACCAGGGCATGACCAAGTCCTACACTCTACGATGAGAGTATAGGCTCGATTGGAATAATAAAAGCTGATGATAGAAAATCTTCCGTCTCTTTTATTATTATTATTACTTTTCTTTTTTTTCGGGGATCTAAAATAGAGCTAAATCTTTCAGACAGTGACATGGTTTTTCAAGATGTTAATAATTATCTACGATCTGGGCCTCCACAGCTACTAGCCTTCGATGCATACTACTCGAAGGAAGACACAAGAATCCTTAGAGAGGATGTAAATAATTTGCAGTTCCGTAGTCTTCTTAAGTCACGTCCCACACTTCAATGCTAACGCACAATAGCAAGTGCTTACTGTCAGAAGAGTACCTCTCAGAGCTGAGTACCTAAGGTACCTAAAGTACGTACCTGGACAAGTTGCGAAGTGGTACCCACATCAAGCAACCAACTTATTGTCCTCCGTTAACTGGAATTTTCTTTAACCTGGTCAGTAATAATAATATATTAACTATAAACACGTTTGCCAGATCCATACCACCTGTGGTTCTGAAACCCGAATAGCAGCCTCTTGACCACAGTCACTACTGGAAATTCAGAGTCAACTCTCGCTACAATTATTATCAGCGCACGAGCTCTATCAAGCTCGCTCAAATCAAAGTTTAAACTCCAAATTTGTACGTGTCCCCTGCGCACTTCATCAGAATCTTGACTCAGTAACTCTATGGCATATAAAACAAAGACAGATCCCGAGCAAGGTGCTAAATGACGGCCAGGCAGATATTCTGAAATCCCATCGAAACGATCCAAACCCCGCACTTCTCCAGATGGATATCGATTTAAGCAGGAGGAACAAAAAGCCCCGCCTTCTGTTGGAATCTGAAAGAGAGAGGCTTGAGGAATTCATTGACTCTATACACTACTCAGCGAGGTACGAGCATCTGACTAATCTACACAAGGGCTGAATTGACGGGCGCAGATATTCTGACGACCAGTTTGAGTACCGACATGTTCAGCTTCCCAAAAACATGCTGAAGAAGATTCCCGCCGACTACTTCGATAGCTCAAAAGGAACGCTGAAATTGCTATGGGAGGAAGAATGGAGGGCACTCGGTATCACTCAGGTACTACGAAGTGGACTGCGAAACTCGCGTTCTGCCAGCCTGCGGCTAATCTTGTTTGTTTCTCTAGAGTCTGGGGTGGGAACATTACGAGGTCCATGAGCCAGAGCCACATATCCTCCTTTTCAAGTAAGCACTTAATGATGTATGAAGTATTCTACGATGAACTGATGGCTTTTTAGGCGGCCCCTGAATTATCAACCTCCGGTTTCCCAGTAACTATGGTAATCGATAGATACATATTGCGGAGTCCAATTGATTTCACTTTAAGCACTGACGGGCGCACAGTCCCATTTAAGTTATGGGTATTACAACATGGGAGAATTTTCCAGGGCAGGGCAACAATGATTATACACCGTTCGAGCCATGGAAATGAAGAATCGATCTGGCTGTGGCACATGAGTGAGATTATTGATACCAACGTACGCTGAAACCTTTTGCTTTTCTTGTTCTCTTTCTCCTTGTCCTTTTGCGTCGCCGGTACGATGCCTGTGACGCGCCACTTGACTTCGTGTGATTGCAAGAAATTTCAGCTACGTTTCTGGGCGATCACAGCTCCCAGCTGGGTAGTACCGAATTTGCTGCTGATTCTGGGCTTGCCAATCACCTAGATCATGATGTCAGACTCTTTCGAGCTTATGGAATATAGCTGGAGTTTTCTTACCTTTCATCTACGGTTGGAGCAATGGATATCAATCGCACGATCAGTCCATATGTTGCCGCATTAGACCTTTGCAGATGGCTCTGGCATAATGAATAACCCTTGCCCCATGAGCAACTTCATACTACCAGCGACCTATTCGACTTTCGATTGCCCAAAATGACTTGTTTTTTCACTCACACACACACACTGCTCATTCAAGTGAAGAATGGCAGGTATGCTCCCTACTCTTTTGCAGGTGCTCTCGTGTGCGCTCGCGTATTCGATTCGCATATAATCTAAATTGCGGTAATTAAGACCCCCTATGTCTCGTACTCGATCCTCAAAGCTATGGCGGCGGGTCCGTAGGTTTTTAGAAACGATGCTGCCAGGTATAGCGCTTAAACTTGGCGAAGGGCTGATTTCTGAACATTACACCTCCTCGAAGCAAGGAGAACTGTGAATAATTAACACCGTGGTTGTGTCCGCACGCACGTAACTGACAGCCTGAGAATGCGCAAGATGTCGTGAGAATTTGTTGCTGGAATACCTTATCTATACGCAGCGCTATCAGGACCTTTGCAAGCCCTACGGAACCAGCTGCTTGCACTAGTCTGTATCTATCTAACAGCTGTGCTCCCAAGTTCTCCTATGATACTTATGCTCAAGCTGTGTGCTTGACACCAATCCTCGAAGGCCTTTGTTGTCCTTATATTATGCTTCCCCCCGCTTCCAAGAAAGAGGACCCTTAATCATCTGGAAGGTTAGGTATAGATCATAAACACCTTGGGTCTCAAGAGTCATTTTCTGCACGTCTGAAAGTGATTGGCCGGCGTGACCACTCTCAGTCCATGCTTAACAGCTCAAGTAATTTTATGAGCGTCTTGGCTAGAGTGACAAGTTTTCAGACGCTGTTCATCGGCTACCAAGAGCTCTCTGCTTGAATATATTCAAGTCTTTGAGTTGCATAGAGACATGCGTCCATCGAGAAGTCAACGGATCGTATTCGCCCCGAACGTCAACCCTACAGAATCCTTTGGGGCCTTTGAGACCAACTGGACCGACGATGAAGAAGGTGCCGCGGCGGGGAGTGCGCAACTCGCGAGCCCAGCAATCATTTAACCGCCATTTAAAAGCTACTGCAGCCGCACGCAAATCCGACTCGGGACCTAAGTTCGGCAGTGGTAACCATTGAAGGGATGATAGTACTGACGAGGGATTCAACCATGGGTGGTTTTGCTGTGTTACTCTCCCGTGGGGTTCATCCGCAAAAGATAGTTGAGACCCTGTTTTGTGATGACCAGCGGACCCATCAATGAGCCCTGTAGACACGGTTCCGGATGGTGGCATGACCAGTGAATCAGTACCGGATTGGATTTTATCAGACACCTGAAAACCCATGCGTGAGAGTTGTCTTTTCATTAAGACAAGATATGCGTCTCTTGCAGCAAGGGCCACAAAGAGAGGCTTCATGCATTTTCGGATGCAATCACCGGTATCTGAGGACACCGGTCTCACAGCCCACGAAATTTCAGTATCAGCTATTTCTAGCCTGACAATAATGAGCAGATTAGTATATGGCAAAACGCTGTCATTGATATGACGTACCCTGGCAATGCATATTCAGGTGGGGCACGAGACGGGAAGTGGTGAACAAGCCAGAAACCAGTTATGGTCAGCGGTCCACCAAGAAGTTGAAGAAGTATGTTTGATGCGGAGGCATTGCGCAGAGCTATGGTTGCTAGGTCATCTGGGCGAGTAAGCATTACTTCGGAAAGGTTATTATGCTAGCTGGAGGATACCTTTCAGCGACTCGAGCTTCCTGCCATCCCGAGAGATACGAACGAACTCTCTCCACTCCGGGTCCGACGAGGAATAGAACTTGCCTTCGCGCAGGTGCGGCCAACCCAGAGGAATGAAAAAAGGATCTGAGGCCGCAGCCTCCTCCGGACGGCGCACAGTTCGTTCAGTGGCCGTAACCTTCTTTTCTAGAAAGTCTTTCTCAGGAAGAGCCTCATCCGATGCGCTTTCAAGCATCTTATCGTATTCTCCGAGGACAAAAGAACCCCATATATGAAATGCGGTCCCATATAGCAGACATGTAGTAACAAACTTTCTGGCGACTCGGGTCAATTTGAGCAAATGGCAAGTTGTATGCCGTGCAAGGCAGCGCAAAGGGGTGGCGGACTACACACTTAAACCAAGGTCGTTTCAATCTCACATGGCGAACATTTACGTTGTTGGCATCGCTCTGGGAAAAAGAATGGCTGGCACGAAAGGGGATTCGAAAAAGAAAGAGCCGGTGCCTCATTCGGAACATCTGGTATGACTTTGCGGTGGTCTCTCTAAGCCGAAGATCATACTCAAGGATAGGGATGGCAACTGATCGTGGTCTTCGATTTTGATAGAAACGTCATGAAGCTTTGCCAAATATATGTCCCTCAAGAAAGAAATAGCAGAGGGAGGTGGGGTTAAGAGGTGAAGGATAAGATAAAGGAAAGTAAAAGGATAGATACTGAGGGTTTACACAGACTGCTAGGTCAATTAAAGCGAGAAACTGTCAAATGTCAGCCGCGGGAGCTCTGGTCGGGAATCGGAGATAATTTCATTGTTCAAAGTTCCAGGAGTCTGATGCACGTGATTACTCGTCACATAGATTACCTAAGTCGTAGTAGCTAGCTGGATGTACCTGCCCAAATACGGAGTACACCGATATAGGTAGCGGACTGGAGGAATCAGCCCATGATATTTTGTCCAAGTTTATCTACCAACATGCACAAATATCTTGCTTTTTTAACTCTGTCAGCGACGTTCACGTCGGCTATCAGCAATCCAGATGCATCCATCTTCGCACTAGATTCAAGCGCCAATGCAGGAGGCTCAGAGATTCCGTTTCTATCAAATGACACCGCCCAACGACTCCTGAATTATCGAATGGGGTCCTCGACCACAACGGACCTCATGACAGTTGATCGAGATGTTGTTGAGATTTTGGATAGATATGGAGGAATGCAGCCATCGTTGTTCGGCATTTCAAGTGACGACCAAGACTTGAGATCCAGTTTGATCATTTTGCGTGGGCTAGACCCTGTCATTGGTACGTCTTTCCAGGTATACTTATATTGTGAAGCAGCCACTCATTTTTTAATGATTATGTCGGTAGAATCTTCCATTCAAAAGGAGTACAAGCAAGGCCTAGTCCATTGTGACTCTCGAGCTACGTTTTTGCATAAAAGTCCCCACAGCTGGAACATCGATGGCGAATCGGGAGATGATGCTGGAACAGCCGATGGTCATTGCCTGAAGTACCTTGACAGCGAGCAAAGGAAACGGGAGAATGTTCAGGTAGTCGAAACCGGACGATTGCTAGTGCGGACTGTATTAAAAAACATTCGGACTGACTTGCGATTAACCCTAGACACTCTTATCTTGCCTACCTGACGCATCGGCTTTCAAGCCAGTGGCGCACGCACTTGGTCAGCAATTACCTGAGTACGTCAATATCATGGAATCATGGGTTAGCGATCAAGAGCCCTTGATCTTGAGGTTATCATTCAAGGTACTCCTTCGTCTATATCTATCAGTTCTCTGTATTTGACAGACATTGCAGTCTTTCTCCGGATCAGTACATGACACAGTACTGCTTAGCTTGCTGAAATCTCTTATGAGTGATCTTCATTCGCTGTCTTTGAATGGTACAGCAGTGACTGTTATATTCATGCCGGACTCCCAAGATTCCCGAATGCCGCAAAGCTTGAGCCGTCGTGGTAACCATGAAGCCAAAACCTTACGAGTGGACATGGCATCTCCGTCATTATTGAGAAGGCAGTCGCCCGGTTCAACGTCTCCGAATCCAACCTGCCATGCCACCAATTCATCTTGTAACGAAGCAACCAGCGGTTGTTCAGGACATGGGTCTTGTTACAGGAAATCGGAGTCAAAGAGCGGACTTACCAACAATGACTGTTTTGTATGCAAATGCCAAGCAACAACCATCAGAAAAGACGATGGTACGACCCAGATTATCCGATGGGGCGGCGCCGCTTGTGAAAAGCAAGATATCAGCTCTCCCTTCTTCCTTTTAGCAACGGCTAGCATCATGGTAATAGTAGCGCTGGGCGGTGCTATTGGAATGTTGTTCAGGGTTGGGCAAGATGACCTGCCGGGCGTCATCAGCGCTGGGGTTGGGCCCACGAAAGCACAGGGATAAGAACCTGAAGTTGACCCTATGAGGGTTGCTGCGAGGTATTCGGTCGAAGGCGATGCTGTGCCAGTTCACTACACAAAGCTGAACGCGCAGGGTGGTGCTGTCATGTTTTGATATGATGTGCTCTGAAATTGCTATTGTGGCGTTCCTTTCTTTTCCTTTTTCTGAAACTAAACGGTCAGATACTCCGAGATCCTCAGGCTCTGACCTGCTTATACCTACATTGAAGACTACCAACATTATTTGGTAAGAACGAAGGCGTAAAGGAGAAATCATTCCTCGCACGTGAGCAATTGTCTCGCTGACGCAAATCTCAGCGGCCCTTGAAACGGGCCAATTGTCTTGAGACGAGAAGTTCATCGACGCCATCCAGGGCGGACAGAATGAATATGGGGTCCTGCAAGAGAAGGCAGAAAGAATATCTGAGTGACTCTTGAGTCCGCTCACGGAATAAACCATACCGGGTGCAATTGACCACTTGGGCGAAAATTGGGACTCGCCATAATTCAAGCAAAGACATTCATCAATCAAGTAGGGTCGAGAAGCCATTAGACCGGCACGCGAGATGACTAGCTACGATTTAAGAACGTAAGCCTGCTTCGACATCTGCAGTACTCCGACTGTCACTCTGCTGAGAAGCACCTATGGCCGAACCCGCATTCCTCGATGCACGATGCCAACTTGAGGACGGAAGTCGGAGAGAGTTGCGAAGACGAGGGAGCAGCCGCATTGATCCCCAGGGCTGAGGTCTGGAGTTTTCTGACCTCGTGTCAGATGCATTGTGCACCATGGACGAATCGACATTGGCTGCACTCGACAGCTGCGATGGCGGGATTCCATCGCGTTGCATGACTCGCTGGGGCAATATCGTTGTTTGACGAAATGGGTTTGATCGCCATCCTATAAAGACAGGCCGCGGTCGGCTAGGAGCATACATTCCCACCATACTATGGCGATCCGTGCTCGCGCGCTCCGCCACCGGATCAGAGCGAGGTTTAGGAGTGAAGTAATCTGCTTTGCAGAGTGGACAGCAGGCCCTCCGGCTTGTCAACCATGGGTCAACGCAGGATGCATGGAAAGCATGACCGCATGTCAGCCCACGTATGTCATCGTCATCCTCGATCGCATCAAGGCATATTGCACAGGAGTCTCCGGGAGTGGGAAGAAGCTCGGCCGGTGTTGCAGTCCGGATGGGATGATCGGCGTCTCCAATGCCTTCCAACCCATGGCATTCACAACTGTCCTGATTATGTACGTGTTTCATCTCACGGTCGGTGTACCTTGATACGTCTCGAGCGTGAGTGCAATCAGCAGAAACTGGACGACCATCGGACTTTTCGTCTAATTGAGCAAATTGTGTTCCAGCATCTGGTGCCAGTGTTGAAGTTTGTGCGATGGTGGGCCCAATCTGCCGTTGACTATCCGTCGATGCAGGTTTCACTAAGGATGGCGATACACTGGTATCTACAACCAAAGTGCCGTTCTTTATGTTTGGACTGTGTAGACTGCTGTCGGCTGCGGATATCACCTTTGCGGTCGGAATGTTGGCGTTTGCCCGCGTCGACCTCCATGCCTTGTACTTTGTGAGTGGAAACCGCAAATTAACTTCGTCCATAGTCATCAACTTCTTTTCCCTTCTTCGTCTATGCGTACGGGGCATAGTAACCAGGTCTATCGGTTCTCCCGTTTCTTCGTTTCGTAGCTGGCGATTCCGTTGATTGTATCGAAAGCAATACTTGACACCAACGATGATCCTAGCATCAAACCTCAGATATGAATCGATGCGTACGAAGTGCAGACAATGCCTCTCTGAACATACCATAGATTTGTGAAGACGACCCCGAAACCAAGGGCAACAAAGAACAATAACGGTGAGCTCGTAGGGCTCGAACTGGAATCTGCAGCTCGATCGCTGTTTGTGGAGCCCGAGGGAGGAACAGGGCTTGTGGAGGACATCTTCAGGGTAAGAGGCCACAATTGCAGGACTGATGTTGGCAATGTAGTCTCGGTCACTCAATAAAAGAAAATGAACCTATTAAAAGGTGGAAGGTACCACTCCGATTGTTTGTTCATTGACCGGGCAAGTAGAGGTAGATCACTGGCGAGTAGGATTTCAATTCTTTCAAGACACTTGGAGTGTATATAGAGACCTTGAAGGGGAGTGATGCTTTTGTAGATGACGATTGTGTATATCCACTCATCTGTGAGGAAGCGTATGACTCCAGTTACACTTAGAGCTGTGCACCTGGGGAGTCATCACTAAACATGCTGTGTGTTTAGGTCAACGTGCTGAAGGGTTCTCTATCTTCCTTCTTGCCCTTCTCTGTTTGGCACAGGATCCCTCTGTATATTCTCATACTCTTCCAAGGTTGTCCCGGAATTCCGTGTTGGGCTATTATTGAAGGGTACCATGTTTCGCAGAAACAGAACTAACGGAGATGCTAATCAAATATAGTTTGGGTCACGAGGTCTCTGATGCATATATATAAGCCTAAGGAAATGAGAAGGATGGAAACATTCCTTTCAGGCTGGAAATTATCAAAAAGAATAATACTCAGTATGGCCTCTTTATTTATATACATCCATTAAGTCATATTCTGCATCTCATCATTACTACTGTAAAGGTCCAAGTTGGTAATAAACCTTTGTAGCTATTAGACTTCATAGAGTGGATCATGCCGTTATCACCTACTCCGTACATTTCTAGAAGTGCCTCAACATGGAGGCGGAAAGAGAGATATTTAGGCGGGGAGACTGCTGACCTGTGCATAAATGGAAGTGTCTTAAGTGTACACGACAGATGGATGCTTCAGGCACCTCAGCTACAGAGTGATAATACAGTTAGATATATATAACCACTGGCACTCTACAGTGATATGGAGAGTATCAGAATTTACCTTTCCCTGGTCAAGAGGGCGAAGTCTTATCCTTCCTCTTCTCTTTGTTTCTGTCCCTTTTTTTCTTCTTTTCTCACTTTTCCTCTTTTGGTGAGTAGTCTGTAGGAATACCAGATGCAGGTTACTTCTGTCATACCTAATCCATACTACTAAGTCACCAACACAAAAGTATGTAGAAGTGTTAACCACTAAACTGAAATATCTGTAATTCTATTAATCCACAAGTCACATCTTCGTCACATCAAAATGGAAGATATCAACTCAGGCCCAGGGACGAATGCCAATCCGATCGTTTTTTTTGACATAGCCCTAGGAGGTGAGCTTCCAGTACCTGCCTGATCTTTTATCTCAGCCCCTACCAGAATGTGGAGGTGTCATTACTTGCACCCAGCCATTGTGTTCCCCTTGACATGTCTGCTAGCATATTTAGATTATCTCGGTCGATCACGTTCAAAATCTCTATCTACCATGATCCCGTTACTGACATTCAGTCGCAATAGGCGAACCGCTAGGTCGCCTAAAAATGGAGTTATTCGCAGATGTCACTCCTCGGACAGCCGAAAATTTCCGCAGATTCTGCACAGGTGAAAGCAAAAACTCCCAAGGAAAGCCACAAGGATACAAGAACAGCAAGTTTCACCGAGTAGTACGTCTACAGTCCTTCGTGTCGGCGAAAAAAGCTGATCCGAAACCGCTTTCAAGATCAAAGATTTTATGATACAAGGAGGCGATTTTGTCAATGGAGATGGAACAGGATCTTGTACCATTTATGGCACTTCAAATTTTCCAGATGAGAACTTTGTTCTGAAGCACGACCGCGCAGGTCTCTTAAGCATGGCTGTAAGTTGACCCGGGTACCGTTGAGTTGCGGATGGTGCTGAGTGCTACACAGAACTCTGGGCCAAATACAAATGGTTGCCAGTTCTTCATAACAACTACAGAGACCCCATTCTTGAATGGGAAGCATGTCGTGTTTGGGCAGGTAGTGGATGGCATGGATATCGTGCGGATGATCGAGAATACACGCACAATTAGGGACAAACCAAGCCAAGATGTGATCATTACACAATGCGGAGAGATGTGAGGGTGTTCTGGTCTAAGTCCGTGCTTTTTCCGATCCTAAAATAGGATGATAACCATAAAGATGATTAGCTCGTACTCAACCTGTTTTCAAATACAGTTTGTTTCAAGCTCGAGGGTAAGGGCATCTAAACCTGAAGGTTCAGGTTCACCGTTAATCGCAGGGGCAAAACCAGCCAGCGAATCTCAGTCACACAGAACCCTCAAAGCTTGAACTTTGCCAAGTAATCAGAAGCCAATGCGATTGCATCCTCGATCTTGTCCGGATGCACGCCATTGCCGATAGACGTCGAACCCTTCCCTCCAGCTTTCCCTCCGACAGCGCTAGAAACAACCGCAGCCAAGTCGTTGGCCGAGGCCCCTTGGTCAAGCAATGCCTACAATAGAAGATCTCATGAGACTTGACTTCCGGACTGGATGTGAAACACGGGGAGGCTCACCTTTGAAACGTAGCAACCATGGGCAACGCGACCCTGTTCCGAATCGGCGGCTAGAACATAGACGGTCTTATCTTGTAACTTAGACTTAACATAGTTTAGCGACTCGCTCACGGCTTTCGCGTTCGCAGAAATAGGAAGCCTGGTTACCAAACAGGTCTTCCCTCCGTTCGTCGGGGATTCGAAGTATGAAATGATCGCCTCAAGCGCCTTCTTTGTCTCGAGTTTTTGTTGCGCCTTTTGTCCGTCAATGACTTGCTTGTTAATAGACGCAAAACGCTCTCGAAAACGAGATTTCTGGACAGCAGAGATGGAGAGTTGGTTTAGTTCAACCTGTATCTGCTTGGCTTCCTGTTCTTTCTGCGGCCCCAAAGCCATTGCATCCAGGCGATCTAGCCGCTTCTCGAATTCTTTGGCAACTCGCTGTACTTCATGGGCGTCCTCCCCAGTCACAGCGATGATCCGACGAATCCCCTTAGCAATGCCGTTCTCTTCTAGGATGATTAAGTCCTTAATGTCTCCAGTCTTCTGGACGTGAGTTCCGCCACAAAATTCTATGCTGACTTCAAGCCAGCGAGGGTCTTCCACATTCTTCAATATCTCCTCCACCTCCACCCCAACAGAAACGACTCGGACAGGATCAGGGTACGTCTCGCCAAAGACAGCTCTAACACCTGAGATCTGGCGAGCAGTTGCAAGAGGAACTTCTTGGGAGTAGACATCACAGTTTTGGCGGATATACTCGGTTGATATTTCCTCGATTTTCTCTAATTCTTTCTCTGTGACTGCAGACTTGTGAGAGAAGTCAAACCTGAGTTTTTCAGCAGCAACAAGGGAGCCCTTTTGCTCGACAGAATCTCCAAGAACTCTTCTGAGCGCAAAGTTGAGGATGTGTGTGCCCGTATGATTATTTCGGATGGGCCAGCGACGAAGCTCATCGTATTCACACAGAACGGCGTCACCGATTGAGAAGGAACCGTACTTCATGAAGCCAGTATGGAGGACATAGCCAGCATAAAGCTGAACATCACCGACTTCTAGCTCAGCCCGTCCGTCGATGATGATTCTGCCGGTATCGTTCTCTTGTCCACCTTGTTCAGCGTAAAAGTTCGTGCGGTCCAGAATGATGCCTATCTGTTCCCCATCTGGTATCTGCGCCGTCGATGAATGGAAGTTCTTGCCGTGGTAAATCGCTTTGATTTCAGCGGTAATGTTACCCTTCCCAAATTTGGCGCTGTCGTCTGTTTTGGGAACGTCGTTCATTTTCTCCAGCTTCCCCAGATCGTGGACGTCCAGTTTGACGGTTCCTGTTGCCGACTTCTTCTGTCCTTTACTAGCCTCCTTGGCTCTCAAACGCGCTTCTTCGAATTCGAGGTCATCAATATTCAACCCACGCTCTTCCGCCATGAGACGGGTTAAGTCAACCGGGAAACCGAATGTGTCATACAGACGCCAAACGTCAGCACCATGAAGCTTGTCATCGCCTTTGATCTTTGCTTGCTGAGCATAGTTCTCGAACTGTCGCTCACCGCGATCTAAGGTTTTGGCGAACGAGATCTCTTCCTCATCCAATATTTCCATGACATCGTGCTGCTTTTTCTTCAACTCGGGAAACATGTCTCCGAGCTGTTCCACGAGAGTTGGGACGATTTTCGAAAAGAAATTTCCAATCTCAACCTGGAAGTATTTTCGAGCATAGCGAGCACCTCGGCGCAAAACACGTCGAACAACATATCCACGACCATCGCTGTTTGGTGTCACGCCATCTGAGATGGCGAAAGTCAATGTTCGAACGTGGTCCGCAACAACACGATAAGCCGTGTCGATGCCATCAGAATCATCGGTACCAAACATTCCTCGATATTCCCGGGCTCCGGTGATGTTCTTAATAGCATTGAACAGCGGAGAGAACACGTCCGTATCATAATTGGACGATCTGTCCTGGAGCACTGAGACTAACCTCTCGAATCCCATTCCAGTGTCGACGTGCTTATTTGGCAGAGGCCTCAAAGACCGATCAGACTCGCGATTATACTGAATGAACACGTTGTTCCATATTTCAAGAACGTTGGGATCATCTTGATTGACAAGATGAGCAGCATTGCGGCCGCCAATCCGATCATAATGAATCTCACTACAGGGCCCACAAGGGCCCTGGTCGCCCATTTCCCAAAAATTGTCCTTCATGTTTCCCGGAAGGATATGATCCTCTGGAACACCCGCAGCTCTCCATAGAGCTTTTGCCTCTAGGTCAGGTTCGAGTCCACCCTCTTCGTGACCCTCAAAGTACGTGACATAGAGGCGTTGGGGGTCCAAGCCGTAAACCTTCGTCAAAAGCTCCCAAGAGTACCGGATTGCATCTTCCTTGAAATAGTCGCCAAAGCTCCAGTTTCCAAGCATCTCGAAGAAAGTCTACTCATTCATTAGAATCACTCGTTAGCGTCCGGGTGCTTGACTTGACCATGGAGAACTTGACTCACATGATGGTAGCTGTCCTTTCCCACGTCGTCCAAATCCTGTATTCACCTCCGTCAGACTCTGTTATCGTGCCTCTAGAATCACATGTTTAACTTACATTGTGTTTCCCGCCAGCACGAATGCACTGCCATTTATTTTTAGTGACCAGTTTGACATCAAAGAGGGTTAGAGAGTGACCTTCTGAGAATTTACTGCGCTTTTCAGTTTTGCAAAATCAGATTGCGGATCCACAGTGCCCAGGAAGATGGACTTGAATTGATTCATTCCAGCATTTGTGAAAAGCAATGTTGGATCCGAGAGTGGTACGACAGGAGAAGATGGAACTTAACATTGTCAGTTGATTGATAAAGAGCCGTCAAAAGCCCCAAAAACATACCGAATGTATGGCCATTTTGTCTGAAATAATCAAGGAATGTGTCGCGAACGCGTTTGGCAGTCCATTCTGGACTGCCTTCGGAGTCTGAAGTCATTCTGAAGTGTCGATAGTTCGTATGGAGTTGATTTTGTTCTGGGGTATGTGTAGTGTGAAAGTGGTAGAATCTTCTGGGGTTTGACCTAAACGGTAACGGCGGATGACTCAAGGCCATATCCCCATTTCTCATAATTCTGGAAATTCGCATCAAGTGAAGGTCGATGATTCCTTGATCCTTTTCAGACTAAGGACAGTGGATACTGATGACTGTTCTTAATCTCCAAAAGAATACTTGACTGATCATATTCTTTTGCGCATGTCGTATCTTGGTGGTGGTGGGTGGTGTGAGTTCCTGATGAGTGAGGCACCCCAGCACGGGAAAAAGCGACCCGCAGAAAATGATCCTGATGGTGACCAACCTCTGGCAAAGAAGTTCGGGCGGCTGCAAATAGGTATGTTTGTCCAGTAACACTTTGAGTCTCATCCATCAACATCGGCGTTCAAATTTTGATGTATAGTCATGGACTAAGACTCATCCCATCTAGAACCGCGTTTGTTTGGGATACCTCAGTTATGTGGTGGGGGTACATCTCCAATTCAGTCAAATCCATTTGATACGACTGAGCGGATGATGCTGGATGACACTAAGCATACAATATACATTCATGACCTTGATTCTGAGCTAGCAGATTCTGATGCTCAGGAGTACTCAATCACCTTTTTGCCCGAAATCGGAGCCAAGTTGGGGACTTTGCCGAAGTTATTGACTGTTGATACACAACCTCAGAACAACGAATTGGTCCTCTACAGGGATCCCAAATCTCTGACCGTTCCAGAGGAGGATGATTATGTGCGAAGAGCCATCCTTGAGTCCAGGAGACGAGCGAGAGCAGCTCAAACTCAGCGCAGATCTGCAGAAAAAATAGTGAAAGAAGTTAAGTCGAATCTTGTGTGTAATGTTGAAGAAGATGTAATGGAGATAGATCCTACCATTCAATAAGTTCTATGTTTTATTATATGTCTTTTTTCCAGAGATGTATACTTTTATGGCAGTGGTTGATACCTCCTTGACTTTGTATATTAGTGTATGATTCATTAGTACATAGTAGAGGGTATTGCTGTGGCCATACAAAAAATAAATAATGTCATCTAGAGCAGCCACCTATAGTATCAGGGCATACTACACTCATTTAATTTAATTTAAGCTCTATAATAATCACAATAATAGATACTCTTAGAGGCACAGTATTAAGGGTCCAAATATGGACAGTCACACCATACTCCAGTTGACCCTGGTGATTTTATTTTTGTACAGTGGGCCTTTGTACTGAATGAATCATATTGATTCTGCTGCTATCTAGTAATTATCTAATATTTTAAAAAACCTCCTTCTGCATTGATTACTCTATCTTTTTTAAATCTTTACTAAAGTACTTAAACTATATTAAAAGATCTCTAATCTTAAGCCTATTCCTATATATAATAATAAGTATAGTAAGAATACTATTAGGATAACATGCATTGCAATGGGGGTTGAGCCTTTGAATCATGTAAGGGTAGAGGGTAGGCCTGTGGCTGCCCTGTATATGTCATAGCTATATTAAAGGGTTCTATGTCACAGCCTACTCACAGGCTAGAAGCCTTATAAATCTATAACCTAGATTTGGACAGTAAGAA